TAGAGAGAATTAAAAAAAGTATAAAGAGTCATCTTTGCTTAAATTTTGTCGAAGTACCCAACAAAAGGCGGAAGCTTTAATTTTTCACCTATATATATATATATATATATATATAATGCCGTCAACAAAATGTGTCGAAGGTCATATAGTCTCCCCCACCATCTACAACCCCAACTCCCGAATTACAACTCCTACAAACAATTTTCGGAAAATGCCTCTGAAACGTCAAAAACGAGGTTTGAGCGATTCCTATCTTAACGTTTTTGCATTTTTCCTCCTCGGTCACTGGACCGATTTTCAAAAACCACAAAGCGTAGTAGTGGATATACATGTCGTTTATAGATTCGTTATTACTTTTACACCATAAATCTTATTCACTGTTCAAGTGTTTATCCACACACATTCAGTACCACTGTTTATTGTTCCATTATTTGTCTATTCGATATTATTGCTAAAATGAAAACCTAAAAAAGAATTCACTGCTCCGGAACCTCGGCACCGTCAAAATGTATTTATTATCTTCCATTCGATAATAATCATGAACATATCCGCCATCATTATTTATTCCTCCATGAGCTTCCCCTACTGATTTTCAACAACATTCTATGCAAAAGGTATATCCATATTAAATGTACTGACTCCTGAGGAAATACCTAGAACTTGCGAACCTGCGAGGATCTCTCCTGATATCATCTTCAGGGTGAGGTAGCAGTTGACATTAAACAATTTTTTCTTATTTTTCCTCCTCTAGTAAAGGCCACTGGCAGGGTCGTCATGAAATAGATTTATCTATTCGGGCTTTTGCTCACTTAGTAACAAAGCTTGATTTCAGGATAATTGACTCCATTTTGTCTAAAAATGTATATAGGTAGGTACTGCAAGAAACCTCGATCATTCCTCTGCCTAGCGCAGCATTTCCGGTGAACTATATTACCTGTAATACCTAACAAGTTTCTAATAACAATCAGACAAATCCTAGACTGGTTTCTTCTATCTAGTCTGAATTCGTTGACTGCAACTATGTAAAGAACAACGATTCTTGAACACGAAGGTCATGAATCCCATATATAATAATTAATGTACCTCAATTTTTTTCGATATCGTGTGTGTTTTTGTCACTACCTTGGCGCCACTTCGCTGCAAGTTTTTTTTATACTTCCTACTTTTTGACATTCTTTACAAAAAAAATATAAGCAATGAAAGCGATGACTGCGACCCTCTATCAAAAGAATACCTAACTTCCAATTACAACCGTTACCCTGAGTGTCCGTGAGCTCTTTTATTTCAATACCGATGGAACTGAAGACGTCACACTTAATAGCGAACAATTGCATTGATCTAATGGTATTTACATCACGTTTAAAATATATCTTCTATAGTTTAAATGTCACCTCCTGGCCACACATCTTCCCTGGCACGTATAAAAGCTGTCAGGTATGATGTTTCCATCTGAATAACATTTGGCCGAACGTTGACGTTCAAAGAACATCTAACGAAACTTGCTGCTAAAGTCAAAACCCGGAACAATATTCTCCATATGATCACCGTCACTGTAGGGCTAACCCCCACTTACCAGCTGTCCATCCTAAGCAGATTCCACCACCAGATCTTCAGAAAAAACATGACCATAGGAAGGAATACAAAAAATTGTTATTAAACCTTGATGCACGAATATCTAAGGGAAATCGGCTGGAAGAGACTGAAGACGAGTGATCCACCCCTAACAGTAGCAAAGAAAATGTCTGAGACAAATTTCCTGCAGATATACTGGATGCAAGAGTCATTCTCGAAAGTCCAAATCTTCCATGTATCACACAAAAACCACTAGGTTTTGAAATATCAAGAAAAGGACGGACAGGTCTCAATAGAGTTCACACAAACCATGGCAAATGTGCAGATATCTTGAACAAGTGCGGTACACCATATAGCGGAAGAGCATCCACTTAGGACTTACGGTGACATCCACGAAGATTTCTTGTTGGCTACAAATGAATCAATTAGATATCTATTTGTGACCCTATTGAGTATTATGTATTTTGTCATTATTTGTTTTTAATACTGAAACTTCAAGATGTGTATTTTGACGCCATCGATGAATAATAACTAAATAAGTCCTGTGACAGTGAATGTGAAGACAAAATGAGTTATTTTTCTTAGTTGACAACGTATATTCACTCATATATTGAAGAATTCCATAATCTGTGTGTGACCTAGTATATAATAAGGGGAATAGAACCTAAGCAAGTGACATCCGCTGTAGAGTGGATGCAGCTAATCCTCGAAAGTATCCATAACGGATCGCATTGTAGCAAAGAGCATGATGTAGCAGCTGGCCATCCCCGTTGTATGTTCCGTACCATACCGTATCGTACCTTAAAAATGTGCGCGGTACAAGGTATCGACGCAGCCGTGACAAATATGGTTAAATGGAAAGGGGCGTGCATATTTTACAATTCAAAAAACGACTCGACACGACAGACAAATCCTCCGTGACATTTGGGTTGCAGCGAAAAATATTGGATAGTATACAACGTGATTCTCTTCTTTTGTTTTGAATACCGTTTTAATTTAGAAATGTCCACTTTAGATCTCCAAGTTCTTTATCGAAGCTAACATGTACCCGTGTATTGATTTACGGAACATCAGCAGAGGGACTCCGTGTCCTCTGAATGATATGTATATCGATTATATCTAATCGGTACTCTGTGTCTATAAAATCGCCAAGTTGCTATGTTTACCCTTGTTTCATTTCTATTGGCTCAGACATATTGAATTCTACTCATAATGTAATTGCTGACACTGTTGAGCTGTCGCGTTCGTTGCTTTGAGGCTTGTTGGAAGAAAAGTCGTCATAATACTAATACAATATAAAAATAGGATTGTTGATATTTTCCAATTGTTGAAGAATACCACTTTGTGAAAACGAAGCAATTCCAACAATCGCATATCTTCAATGGGAAAAAGATAACGCTCTTCTCGCATCACCTTAATTTCTAAGTTTTCCACTCTGATGTATTGCTTAAAGTGATGTAGAATTTACTTACTATACGTAAAATATTGTTTTATTATTAGAAATAAATGTACAATTTTTGTACACGTAATCGAGTGGTCTTATTATTATCGTTTCAAGTAATTTTATTTTCCAGTCACATAGATTATGAATCAAAATATTCCAAGACATATCCACAGTAATCAGAGAACATCACAGTTTACGATTATTTCATATTTGGTGCACACAATTACCAACTTGACATACTAAAATGTTACTGAACCTAGTATCGACAGCGAAAACAGAAATGAGCTATCAAGAAGGACATGTTGAATTCTATAGTACATGGAGTCCCAGTGCTAATGTTTAATTTATTAATTGATAGTAATTTACAAATAGAGGTTCCAAAGGTCAGGTACAAGCAACAAAATACATGAAATATCTTTTTGATTTTTTCCGTGTGTCGTCATCATGCCCATCTTTATGAGTGATGTTACTGATTTACTTAAGTGTATGTAAGTTAACAGTTTCTAAAGATAGTGTGAAGTTACATTCAGTATTTTTTCTATCCTGAATGTTTGACTACATGATTCCAAACACTGAAGCCCATAAGTGGTTCTGATTATTGTATGCAATTCCAGATCGAAGATCGTAGTAAACTGGGATTGCCTACCAAAGTCTTGTTGCAAAAAACATTCAATAAATGGCATTCTTCCTGAATTTCCGTTCCGATAGATAAAACGTAGTACATATTTTCTTGCTAGTTTGAAGTCAACCAGAGTATGCGTTTATAATCAGTTAAAAGTAGGAAAAAGGCGTGGTAGAACTGTTCAAATGATTTAATACACTGTTTGGCTGCTCTCCATGTAATCACAGATGAACCTGCCACCCATATTTTGCAGCGGCATGCTACACGAAAGTAAAAGTGACATGAGTAATGGACATTTTGACATCGCAAGGTTTGAACTTTACTAATAAACAATTTTTGTTTGTTTACTTCAACAATGTATGTAATGTACTGTTAGTAGGTTAATTGACCAGATATAATTTTTACACACAGAAAACGAAAGCTACTCAAGTCTATTTTCCAAAACTATCATAACTATAAATTCGGATAAGGACAATGAGGATGAGAAAGAACGACACCTACCAGGAGAGCTACAGTTTATAGAAATAAAATGAAAAAGTTGCTTATTATTGTGTAATTTGATGAGCATGTGGATGATTACGATGTTTTTTCTCGAATTTCCATTGTCTATAAGGTTTTTTTGATTCATGACGGTTCGGTTGGCGTGATCTCAATCGTCAATTTCGACTCTGAATGCCAAATTCGAGAGCACTATCTCCTTTAGGGCGAACAAACAACGAGTTCTATCAAACGTTCAATTCGGCTTGTCGGAGTCTAGGTCACCGGGTTGGCATAACGCATCTCGTCAATCGCAGCAGCTGCTGGGAAAAAGATAGGCTAGGGCTAAGAAGTAATTTTCTGAAATTAACTTCCTCACCCTGTATAAGCGCCACATACGACCTAGCATCGAGTACTGTTCACATGCTTAGGGTGCTGCCCCTCTTATTACAACGGCCTCGGGGCGCTCTTGCACCAACGGACAGTCGGCCATCTGTCTCTCTTCTACTATTATGTCAACGAACTTTGCTCCTCAGCGCTCTCCTCCTTAATGCGGCCGCGCTATGTGCCTGCCAGGCAGAACCGCCAGACTTCGTCCACCCATACCAACATCGTACATCCAGAACTGGCCGTTACCACCGCTCCTTCGTTCCTAGGGTGTTGAAACTGTAGAGCAATCAGCCTCAGGTGGCTTTTTCCAGTTTTATCAAGTATAGGCAGTTCAAAAATCGGATTAACAAAGTCTCTCTGACCTCGTGGTTCCTCGGTATTTAGGCTTCGGTATAAAAATGTATCTCATACATTTCGTGTATATCTCATTGCTCAGCGCAAAGGCTGCAGAGTAGGCGGAGTTAACCTATTCTGATGATTTACAGCGCTTCTTGGCCACACTCCACGAAAACGCAAAGAAAATGACACCGGTAACAACCGTTCTGGTACGAAAGTTGTGTACGTCTCAACGCAGACATTTTGCTTATATCGTACGCCGTGTTTGCAATGACAAACTTCTTAGCTGGTTCTTTTACAGATGAATGGAGAACATTAAGAGAAACACACATCATTTGTCAGCCGAAAATATCCGCGCGCATATAAATGGAAGAAGGAGGAATTGGTCCCAACAGGGAAGGCCTGGAATGAAAATGGGATGGAATTCTTCGGGAATGCCACAACAGCCAGACGACAATGATTGATAGGAGATGATAGATTGTTTCAGGCTTGAAATATTACTAGATTTATAAATACTTAGGATATAAATTCTGACAGTCAAGTCAGTCGAGCGTACTAATCAAAATAAATATGGAAAATTTGCCATGAAGTCTAAATACCGTATAGAAAATGATTCTTCGAAGTAACCTTCCTTATACAGGGTGTAAACGTTATGATAGTCATTATTTAAATTGGTGATAGAGGGGGTTAAAAGAACCAAAAAGCTTCATATAACATGGGGTCAAAACGGCATTTCTTTAGAGAAAAGCGACGTTAAAGTAAAATAAAATCTGACAGCGCTACAATGCCTGACGTAAATTACGACGGAACGCAGTGTAAATAAAGATGCAAACAATTAAAAAAAAACGGACTTACCACTAACTGTCTCAGCGCTTCACCTGGTGTGTGAAAGTCTATTAAACGTATAAAAAGTCCACTTATAAATATGGAACACAATTTTGATACATACATTATTTTTATTTTTAAAACCCACACTGCACTTTTTTTGTATTTAAAGAAGGTGTTCAAAATATCGTCCTCCACTTTCCACACAAGCTTCATTACGACGAACCCAGTTTCTTCTTACTCTAGGCCCTCGAAGTTGTCCATTTATTATTTCAGCCGCATTAAATTTTTTTTCGCGACGTTGTGCTTCAGTTGTTATTGGACCAGCCCCATAAACCATTCCTTTAAGTTCTCCCCAATACCAGAAATCCATCGGATTGAGGTCAGGAGACCTTGCTGGCCATTTTCGAGGATCAGGAGCATTTCGACCGATCTAGCGATTTGGATAATATTCATTCAAATACTGAATGACTACTCTAAAAACGTGTGGTGGTGCCCCGTCATGAAGGAACGACAAATTCTGTCTCCGTTGTAATGTTATGCTGTCTAAGGTCTATTCCAAAAGTTCTGGTAGGTTATTGGCTAGAAAGCTAAGGTATCCTTCTCCTGACAACTTTGAGGGTAACTCGAAAGGGCCAATTACCTGGTCGTCAAGAATACCCGTCCAAATATTTATTTTAAAACGTTGTTGGAAATGACCTTCACGAATGGTATGATGATTTTCTTGGTCCCACGTGTGAGTATTATGGAAATTTAATAATCCGTCTCGCGTAAAATTACATTCGTCCGTCGCTAGAATGTTTTTAAAAAAATCCGAAATTTCAATGTTTTTGTGCAAAAACCACTGACAGAATGTTAGTCTGCGAGGATAGTCTTCTGGTAACAAGGCCTGCACTCGTAGTACATGGTACTGTTAAAGCAAATTTTCCCGTAGGATTCTATTCTATCGGTCTAGAATGCCATGGATCCTGTAAATCGTTTCATTTTTGATGTAACACGAGCAAAATACGATTTTGAGGCGAAAGACATTACAGCCGTTTTAAAGATTTTCTATAAGTTACAAGCACTAATTTTTTCAGTCTACATGATTTTTCCAAATAGAAAGAGGGTGGCTCGTCGACTTTTTCTAAGAGACCATTTTCCTACGAATAATTTGTACAGCACACACTCTTATTTTATTTTCACTATTTTTCTGAATAATTGTAAGAAAGGATCATACCCATTTATTTGTCAAATATTGACAAGTGAGGCGTTGTTGAGTTCAGAATGTCATTCTCGATCGAAATAAGTAAAAATATATAGGGTGCTCCTCTTAAAAATCGGAAGTTGCAGTCGTTTCCGGTCAAAGTAAGTAAATATGTCAAAAAATGCAAATACATATACATATATGTTAATACGTAACCCTCAAATTTCATTTTTCTATCTTCGACTCAGGGTCTAAAGAAACACAATTTTTTGTTACAAAGTGGCCGATGTTTCGGAAAAAATCATTTCACATAATCTGTATTTAGCTATACCCCGAAATAGTCTGTCAGTATCATAATGATAACTTGTAGTCTAAATAATAATATTTAAGATGTGTATAACGTTAGATTATTTATTCTTTGACCACACTGAGAAAAAAGACTGGATTTTCTGGAATCAGTTTAATTGGAAGAAATACACTATTAAACTAATATGCTTGAAAATAGCAAGCCGTGCACCTGTTTTATTACATTGTTTAATTAGTTTAGGTAATTTAGTTTATGTAAAGAAGGTACATTTAAACCAATAAAAATCGTAGACTCAGCAGGATTCGGCCCTTCTTTCTCGAATGATCGTGACTCGAACTCCTCAGATTCATTTATGATTTCGCGAGGAGCCTCATATTTGAATGTTACCGTTGTTGATGTAGAAGCTGTGAGGTAGGTCAGTTATGGTGATCAAGTGAACGACCATGGTAAGAATGTTTCTCGCTCTCAATGAAACACTGTGTATTGGGGAGTCACTGCTTGCGTGTTGAAATGGGAAGAACTTTGGAATTTAATTTATGTAGCTACACTTGAAACAATGAACGGCATTAGTATCAAACCTGTGCTCAACATAGGTTTGATGTGTTTTTCTTTTATATTGTATACAGAAAGTGTCTCTGAATCAAGAGACGTGGAGGACCACATTATTATTGACTTTTTACATATTTTCAATGGCGGATTTTTTGAAATGTTGATTATTTATCTACCTAACCCTAAGAGACGTGTACACAAAAAAAAATGTAATAGATTCATTCTTCCTGGGTGTTCAGATGGTTTTGTCCTGGACTAAACCGGGACAAAACCGTATTTACCGCCGTGCTTCCCAAGACCGCTCCGGGAAGACATTGTTCGACTGATTTTGCATGGTTCCAGAGTTGCGGTGGAAGCAACGGCAACGGCAGTGATTTAATTAAAGCCCCCCGCTGTGAAGCCGACCCGATTCACCACCGCTAATGGAAAGGAATAGCTCGTGTCGTTCGCCGCGCTGTGGATTCTAGATGTTATTATTCAGATGCGCGTTTCGCCGTCGAGCGGTTTGATATCATTACGTGGCATGCGGCGAAGTCGACGACAAAGCGTCACTACTTACTCGAAATAATTACAAAATGACATAAAAGACAGATCCCAAGCCTTTTTTTTTTCAAGAAAATGGTATACTCGTATATTGCAGTATATTGAAACCTGTATCGTAAGAACCACACCCCTAGACGAACATCTTTCTAAACATGAATGCTGCAACCTCAGCTACATCTCTTTCAGTAGACAGATTCCTAATACGCCCTTGGGTGATATGAGGAAAATGTCACTGAGCTTGGCTCTCAATGATCTGACACGTTGTGACTGCAAGTTGCTTATGCTTTTCCGTGTTCTAATTGTTTATAATGGTCGTTGAAAAATGGCTGGCTCTGCACTTCTCACGAAACATTATCATCGGTTCAACAGGGATTGACGTTCAGCACAAACTAGTTGGTTACGAATATGTATAATGGAAACGGAACCACGCAACAGATTAACCAATGAATCCGCCAGGAACCTCATGTCTCTTAGGTCGTGGTAAGCTATTGAAAAGCTAATTTAGTAGGAGGTACAAGCACATTTTCAAAAAATATCAACAACCTGACTGCAGTAATGGAAAAGAAAGATTTGGTCACTTCAAATGTCAAGAACCAATCAAGCCGTTTGGACTGTCAATCATTTAGATTTTATAAGATTTCAATACACTCAGTAATCTAGAGACACAAAAATCCATCAAGACATGAAATAGAATTTTCTGTCCACATACATAACCACGCGTGAAAAACACAACCCTCCTTCTGATGCAGTAGGGTAAAGAGCTACTGACGTGAGATGGCAGAAGTACATTATAGTTTATGTTACAAAACAAGGTGGCGAATGCTGCACGATGGTTCATTGTAAATTATAAAACATTCACTTTAATTCAAATGAAATAAACTGCAATCAAAATAGTAAGATTATTATGGAGTTATAACTGATTACATCGACGTCGATAGTTCACTTAATATGAAAAATCTACCTACAGCAATAATATAAACATATTAATTATATATGATAAGATTTGTCCGTAACGTGGCTACAGATTTGGTAGGATCCTCCTATCATCTGAAACAAAAGCGGAATATATTAACCAATGAAATGCTCTCCAAACCTTTTAACTACCTTTAAAAGTAGTCTAGTCCATACCAGCTACCTAGAATCATTAATTTCAAGTTGTCACGTTAAAAACAGCCAACTAGATGTTTAACAGTAACTGTAAAGTGAGTTGGAAAGATCGTGCTCGCTATGTAGTAGTAGTTGTGGTGGGGAGGCGAACTGGGCCACCTTTGGCCCTTTTTGCCGACCCCGTAGTACCAACACTGCACTAGTCCACGAGCCATCTACTTGTACCAGATATAATAAACCAGCTCCAGGTATGAGATGTACCTGTTAATATTGCACACATGTGAGTGATACAGACACCACGCACAACATCCATGACAAGGAATTGATTTCCCAGGCGGAGATTCGAGACCGCGAGCCTCTGGTTACTAGCTCGACATGCTGACTACCGAGCTAAATATTTTTCGTTTATGTCAGGGCACAAAAGTTGACGCAAATTCCGTCGATCGGAAAGGATTGAGGCCTACTCGAAACATGGATCATATTTGATACAATAGATACATGACACCGTTACCATTCATTTTATTGAAAATAACAGTCTCACTACTGATATACAAAACTTTGGTTAATAATTTTTTTGAAAAAATAAATAAAATCACAGAATTCTTATACTTTAACAAACATTGAGTAAATAATTAATAAATACTGTTAACAGGAAGATGTCGCGTTCTCTACGGGACGGTAGAACGATTACACGGACCAGGCTGCGCCGCAGTGAGGATGGCAAGGCTAGAGAACTCCTTGGTAATAGGGCTGGCTTAATGAACAAGGTTTTTCTCACAATAGTGAAGTAAATTGAATACTTTCTCGATGTTTGTTGAAAAGCAAGCATTCTCTAATTTTATTTACGTCATCAAAGCATTTATCAAGCAAAGTTTTGTACAGCAACAGTGAGACTCTGTCATTTTTAACAAAATACAAATTTAATTGCTGTCATAGGTATCAATCTACATATTGTATCAAATTTGTATCCATGCATCGAGTATGGCGCAATAAGCGATTTATGTCATATTTCTTAATTTATTAATATGGGAATACGGCGCTCATCTTACACAAATCGTGTAATTTTTCTCTAGTTTGAGAGACATTTTACAAGAAATCTACCA